TTGGAAAATGTTTAGTTTTGGCCTCTATAATGCACCAAGGATTTTCAATTTTACATCGGAAACCACCCCCAAAGTTTGAAATCGAAGCATTATATCGACTAGTTATGCTGTACATAGACACAAAAAAAAAACACACACATCATTGTAAAATCAATACATTCATCACTTTGTTCAGAATCTAAAAAGATTTAGAAGAATGGTATGGTAATAACAATACAAAGTTAAATTACTTATTGGTTATTTATTATGAATATTTCAATACATAAACCATATTTAATATATGTTTACTCTTATTATGGTTTAAAAATAGTAAAACTATACACATTATGCATTAAAGCCACAAATTAAATAAATAAATACAATTGATGTTTTAAAATAAACTTTTAATATATTTAAAAAAAAAACTAACATCTTAAATTCTGTGTTTTTAATATATATACAAATATAAATACTCAAATAAACGGATAGATCAAACATTTGACTATGCATTTTTAAATAACAACTATTTATTCTAATATTTTATAAGATGCATTTGTAATGAAGTAATCCATGAATTTTACAGAACTGGTATTAAGTAACCAAGCCATGAAACTTGAATTTGAGTCAGTTTTAAAGCAAATATTTCAGTTTAGACACCATTTGTACAAGCACTCATGTCAACCAATATAATATGGATTCCATCATAATTTATAACTTTAGCAGCATCGATAAATTTCAGCTACCAATGACAAATCGTTATGGTGGTCAGAGATATTCAACCTGAAATAAAAAAATAAAAAAACTATAATTAATATTAAAATCAATAATAATGGGTCATTTAAAAATTATCATGATCTTTTTCAATAGAACCTACTTAAATATAAGCTTCTAAGCACTGTGATCATGTTCAATTGCCTTATTAAAACAACATATTGCATCTTCACTTTTGTTTAAGTCTGAATATATATTTCCCATATGCATATAAATTTTTACACATGTATTGTCATATTCCAAAGCTTTTTCATAATGCATGAGAGCATCAGTAAAATTTCCTTTTGTCTTAAAAATATCTGCTAAATTTKTATGTAAATCAAAAGCCTCCGATTCATCAATTTGTAATATTCTTTGATAGATGTCGACAATTTCGTCATCGATCTGATCTAATTTCTGTTTCAAATATGTTAAATTGTACAAAGTATTCAGATGATCTGGTTCTAATTGAATTGCCATTTTATAATATTCCATGGCCCTTTCAGAAAGACCTTTTTCTTCATATATTATGGCAATATCACAATATACGTTCACCAAATTAGGTTTCAATTCAATAGCTTTTTTATATCTGTTGAAAAATGAATTTTGATATAATTATTGGTTATGATGAATTTAACAAGGATAATATTCTATTAATTAACTCAAATAGCAAGTACTAAGAGTACATCATAGTAAATAAGAAGGTAAGAAAATAACA